TTTCGGCGAATGGAGCAGTAAAGGGTAATACTGCTATAAATACATACAAAACATACAAATTATTTACATTTACAACATGATCTCCGTATTGTTGATGAGTGGAAATTGCCGGCTGGAACCGCGTTCTCGACCGCAGATGAGTGAACTACTGACCCGTGGTGACAGCTTTTCGGGAAACACCTCGCTGCCATCTATACTCCGCCCTGTTGACTTGTTTTTTGACGTCCAGTAAAATATTCGAAGCATATTACTACGGTATTCGCGATGGAAAACACAATTCACCATTGTCGTTCCAATCGATATCAACCTAGAAACAAATGTATCCTTGTTTAGTTAATCATATATATATTATCAGTTTGTTTGGTGTTTGTTCATTGTTTAAATGGCCCTTTGTTCTGATAGGTATATCACTAATGTGCAGAACGTGGTGAGTGAATGTTTGCAGTGACGACCGCTTCACGACCGCACGCTCAAGTGGCGTGATCTGCGGCACTGGACGTGGAAAAGAAGTACGCTGCGAGGGATAAGTGGCACTATTTGCGGCCACTTATCCCTAGCAGCGTAATTTTTTTTGTAGAAAATTGACGATCAGTTAGAAGAACAGGTTTTGTCTGTCTATCAAAGTGATCATCATTAGCCATTTTTGGTCTGTCGTCGCCTAATCTCCCAGTCTTGGTGTTTCCTACCCAGATTTCCGACCTGAGCCAAGGGGAAGCTCCAGGGTGAGGCTAGGGGATGCGAGAGGCTAATCCGCATTCTTCACCTGTAGCCAGGTGCTGCCTAGGAGAGAATTGAATGGTACTGTGTGCACTGGGCGTTCCCATTCTCCCTGTTTTACGCGCAGTTTAGGATACTGTATCCCTCCAGTTTCGCTGAACTTATGGTTTTGCTGAATGAAGTATGTAGAGGTCTACAAATTAAGGGCACGATCCGCTCATTGTGCCTTTCCTTACTAGCGCGCTCTTCCTTGTCACCGTATCAGAAGGACACGATGAAGAACACACAAGGCCTTGGTCGTCTCCGCCCATGCGATCAGCGTGGACTGTACCTTTGAGGATTGTTACTGTTGTGAAAAGTTAGTACTTACCCTGGTGGCACTATAGATATTCCGAGCACGAATTCGCTGCCCTGGACGACATTCCATCGAATAAGAAGACTGGCAAATGCAGGAATCGACATGAACACAATGCACATCAGTGACGTCATCATGAATACCTTCAGATTTGACTCGCGTCGTGAACCTTGACATCGTCGAAACGGCGCTGAGTTCACTTGGCTGTAGCCCTGAAAGCGAATGGTTAAGAATGGCTCTATGGTTACATAAGGGTATTTCAACTATGAAGGCAAAGTGGAAGGTGGATGGGGAGCGTTTCGTGGTTGCTTTAGGCAGCGTTCAGACTTCGCGATCGTGCCGCTAGGGGTAGTGACCGATTGTAGAGCGACTGATTCTTTCATCCTTTCATACTTTACCATATATATACTATATGAGTACACACAAGCAACCAAATTTCGTAGCGATTAATGGCAAGTTGCCCTGCGGGAAAGCAAAATTGCTTTTAGAATCACTCAGAACAAAAGCTCTTCTTTGCAGGTTTTTGACCTTTTCACTCCATTTCCCCACAATATAGCACCCTTGCTACTATGTTAGACCCACTACCAAATTATCGTGCTTATGGGTAGGGAGAAGTAACCTCTATGTCCCTAAAAATATTTCGTACGGAGTCAATCCCAGTTTTGCACGAACATTCTCTGAATGCTCCCTCCCCTATTCTTCAGTAGAGTTGTGCACCTCTAGGCCGTAATTTTTAGTTAATTGGCATTGTTCTCGATACAACTTCTCTGGTTTGCTTTGAATGGAACTGACCAGTGAAAAACATAAAATTTGATCTGGGGCGAAACAGTCTGTATGAACACTCCTACTGCTCAGCGTCAGGGCCATATTCATCGTTGATGATTCCTCTTGAGGGGGGAGGGGGCCGTGTAATTGACCGTTGAGGTGGGAGAGAGGGGGCTAGCCAACACCCAAGCAGCGCTGTGTCAGCCGGCAGTACGAAAAAAATAAAGTGATGAACTCTCAAAAAAGGGGTAGAATAAGCCGCCATTATTATACATAAACACGATCGCGCGCGCGACACGTAATCAGGACATTGAAACCAAGCGGTCATTTTTCATAAAAGTTGCTTTAGGAAAAATGCATTTCGGGAACGACGTAACCATCGAAACAACTAAGAATTCGGTAGAAGATGTCAGGTCGATTCTCTTTTCCAAAGTGTGGTAAAGGATGAAAGAACCAGTCGCTCTAGACCGCTAGGCGGCGCGATCGCGAAGTCTGAACGCTGCCTGGGCGGTTTGCATGGTGGCTTGACGCGAAGTTCGAGCGCGGACAGGCAGGGAATAGCGGCTGCGAAAGATCGTTACTTCGTGTTCCGGTAAGCAATGTTACTACGTCTTGGGCAACTATGAAGCTTATTATTCCAAGGCGTTCACATAACCATTGGCTCCCACTAACTGAGACAGCGAAGCCGAGCACAGATGCGAGGGAGCATGAGGTCATCCTGGATGTGAATTTAGGTTGGAAGGTATGGAGAGTAACTGCCCTGAAGGATCACCGAGTGGCTTTTCAGCAGAGCCGCGCGCACCGTGACCAATGATCGGCCCAGTGATGTTCTTCAAGTTTTGTGGCTTGGTTCAGCTGTTTTGAAACTTGCTCTCCGCTAGTTTGAAGTCATATCGGAAAGTAAGGACGGCGCGGTTTCGGCTCAGTGGGGGCATCAAATGGTACTTGACAAAGCTTGTGCAGGCCGCCTTAAAAAACCTGCAAATTCCTGTGATAAAAGTGGTTCACTTGCGAAATTGATTGGCTCAGCAGGACGTCCTGCGTTTGGAAGAATTGGTCGCAAACTCCTTCACAAAATTACTTTGAGATACCCCCTTTCCCGTCCCACCTGCCATCCTGGCAAAGTTCACGAAAACTTGCCGTTGAACGGGGGAGTGGAGGGACATGTCAGTTAGTTTTTACTGCGCATGTCATGCTCAGAGCACATCGTTGTTGGGGAATCCCCAATAGAGGGGAGGGGGTCGTATTTGGTCGTCAAGCTAAGGGGGGGGGTGTTGTATCTGGGCGGGGAAAAATTTATTTGATGGTTGATTTTTGCTCGCTTCAACGGACGTAAAAAGGGGGGGGGGTTGTACAGATCGTACAGACTAAGTATAAACCAACCAATGATGTGCCCTGGTCATGCTACCTGAGATGTTTCCCTTAACGACGTCGCCGGAACTTGGGTATTCTTACCCGTATCCCCGAGAAAAGAGTGCCAATACCTCTCAACATATCTTTTTTTTTAGAGTACAGGGACTGAGAGGTGACGATAGGGTAGAATGCGAGCTAGTAACGCGTAGTTTACTTAAGCGTATGGGTGCGCAAATAGCCAGCAAACAGGTATTTGAGTGAGATTTTAGGACGGGTCGTGGTACGAGCTAGGTCAATACTGGTTTGAATGGGATTTACTCTCAACTTAACCTACCTGTCTACTCCTGAATATGTAGAGCAGTGTTACAAAACTGATCACATAAGCCAGAACAACGAAGAGAAAGTGGGCCGTACAATAGGCGATATGTGTTGAGGAAAGCACTGGGCAATGCTGCGATGAATTCAGCGTATGCAGACCGTGAGAAGTGTAAGCCGCTATGGCGATTGAGACCTGAAGAGAAATAGTTGGGCTCAGAACCTTCTAATTCTACTTGGGCCTGTTTGGAGGATTCATGGGCAATAGTCACAGTCACGTGCGGTAGCTTAAACTGTCGGTTCAACTATTCAGACTCAATGATAAAGCGCAAATATTCAGACCTTTGAAGAGATTTGTTATTATCGCAGCTATTATATTGAGTGCCGCTTTTGCGACTCGAGCGATGCATCAAGCGCAATCACCCGGCCGCTTCCAGGCTAATCCGCTGACAGTGCGACGTTCGGACGAATCCTGCCATGATTGGCGTTTGACCGGAAATTCAGCATCCAGGACGATTAGCGGTGGAGCGCGGGTGATCGCAAGCCGCGCGACAAGATGGCTCGCATCGCGAGCTGTGAGCGCAATCTGAAACGTCCTGCTACATATAAATTGAAGAAGTGATTGACTCACCATTTGAACGACAAGTAGTAGGAAGAGCCGTTTCAATTTATAGCTGTAGTTCCAATGTCGATAGTAGTTACTAGGCCGATGAACGGCAATAGTCCTCTCCACAGAGGCGAAATAATTACCAACCAGAAGTGCAGGTAACTGGCGTGCCCAGCCAACCACCAGTGCTGGCCAGAGGCTTCTGAAATGCTTGTCTTAACGATTCGAAAACGGTACGAAAAAATCCAAAGTCAGCTTTATTTTACAAAAATGTTAGATTATTGTGAAAAGAGTTTCGTGGAAGAAATGATATTAAAAAAAACTAGAGAGGCGTGTTTTAAGTAAAAGTATGTCACGGCAATGTATCGGGCGTGAATGCACGTGTCGCAAGGCCACTTGTTAATGAAACAGAACAGCAAACAAATTGAGAGAGGCACACAGTAAATTGGATGGAAGTCATAGCGAGGCAGCGTTCAGACTTTGCGAAGCGCGCGCCGACGCGCTGTAATGCGCTGCAACGCGGCGTCGACGCGCATCATCGCGAAGTGTAGGTCTGCCTCAGTGAGCTGCCAGAAGTGCATCTTTCACACAAATTAGTATGAAGGCGAATAGTTCGTTTAGCAAATCAATTAAATTGTTTTCAGTACGGGAGGCACCATTGCCCTAACCACCTCCCCCTCTATCAGCGACCAAATAAAACCCTTATGGGTCTCCCCAACGACGCTGTAACCCGCCGCAGAAGGATGGAAGTCTGGTTAACCTGGGTGAGGTTTGGTCTTCCATTGACCTCCAACCTGCGTGATGAACGGCATCAGCCTTCGCCTCTGCATCTGCTATTAGACGACAGGTGACAGGAAACTATTCCCTATTGTACATTAGAACGGGAAGTGGTCTTTCCCGATGTGGCTTGTGTTCATGTGGCTTATGTTCAGTGGAAGAAACTGACTACAGTCCGGAAGAATTGGCCTTTTACTTACCCCATATTTTCCCGTGCTCCACAGGCTCATGCATGAGTTATACGAAAGTGACTCTTAGAACAAAAAAAGGCATTTTTCAGAAGGGAAAGCAATTTCATATCGGGAATCGATTCAACTGCCTCTCTGCTGATTGCTTCTCCCGAGTAGCCGTAGAGAATACGCAAAATGAGGGAATAAGAGGGTCACATGCCATGTCCATTCAAAGTGTGCGAGAGTGCAAACACATTTTCTTGGGTTCGTAAAACCCGACCACGTTTGCGCATTTATGCCCTATGTTGCGAAAATGATCATCCACTAAATATAATTTGCTACGTCTGTTTGTTTATTTGTTCTGTTTGTTATTCAGTTAGTGAGTTAGTTAGTTAGTTTGTTTGTTTGTCCGGAAACTCGGTTTACCAGAAGAACAACTTGGAGAGGTGGTGGTCAAGGTCGGGATGGGTAGGGCATGTGACAAGATGTAAAGAGCAACCGTAACCCATGGTAAGCCCCATACACAGTGGGGATGACCCATCAAATGGAGGAGACACACCCGAAATGGGCGGGGCGTACTAGAAATGGGCGGTGCTTCCGGTGTCACTGAAAAAAGCCATGATTCAGCTGCAGAGCAGCTCCGAGATTGAGAAAAAATGGGACAGGATTAGCAAAAGGCGTCAGCCGGCGAGCCGACTGGTAAAGTATAGCTAGTTGAAAACTGTCAAATGCTTAAGATGGCATTTTCTACCAAGGAGACCTGTAATCTTTCTTCACCTTTTGGGCGAATCATTGATGCTTTTTGTCTGGATGTCAGGTGGTTGTGATTCAAAGAAGTCGCTAACTGCCGAGTTTTAACTCTGTTCGTCGCAGGTGATACTTCAGTAGCCGAAGCCATGGTAATCAGAAGGCCCAAGGTCTAGGTGTGGGGCGGGGTCAAAGGACGCAATTTTATGGTCCTCTGATGGTCTATGGTTAGTGAGGTGTCCTAGGGCAAATAAGTACGACGCGTCGTACGTCAGGTTTTGAGGATCCCAAGCGAGGCAGACGGGCGTATTTGGCCGCAGGAGCCCCCTTCCC